TTGCTTGTAACAAAGTTGATGTTTTTTTCCTCAGCTTGCTGTCACTAGACTAAAACTGCTTATCATTTGCTTCTGATGGTGTTGCTAATGTTATTTTAGTACAGGGGTGGGCAAACTTTTTGGCCTGAGGGCCACATCTGGGTATGGAAATTGTAGGGCAGGCCATGAATGCTCACGAAATTGGGGTGTGGGAGGGAGTGAGGGCTCCAGCTGGGGGTGTGGGCTCTGGGGTGGAGCCAGAAATAATGAGTTCAGGGGCTCCAGGCTGGGGCAGGGGTGTGGGAGGGGATAAGGGCTCCAGCTGGCGGTGCCAGCTCTGGGGTGAAGCTGAGAGGTTTGGGGTGTGGGAGGGTGCTCCAGCTGGGATTGATGGGTTTGGAGGGCAAGAGGGGGATTGGGGCTGGGGAGGAAGTTCAGGGGTGCAGGCTCCAGGCAGTGCTTACCTCAAGCAGGTACTGGAAGCAGTGGCATGTCCCCCCTCCGGCTCCTACGTGGAGGTGCGGCGCCGGCCAGGCGGCTCTGCGTGCTGCCACGTCTGCAGGCACTGCCCCTGCGGCTCCTATTGGCTGTGGTTCCTGGCCAATGGGAGCTGCAGAGCTGGCGCTTGGGGTGGGGGCAGTGTGCAGAGCCCCCGGCTGCCGCTACGTGTAGTAGCTGGAGGGGGGACATGCCACTGCTTCTGGGAGCCACGCAGAACTACGGCACACATGGAGCGGGGCAAGCTCCCAACCCCGCTCCCCGGCGGGAGCTCGAGGGCCAGATTAGAAGGTCTGACGGGCTGAGCCGTAGTTTGCCCACCCCTGTTTTAGAAGATATGTGCAATAACTACTTTCACAGAGCTGACTAAATGAGCAATCTTCAGTGTCAGCTGAAATGAATATAAGGCAAGTTTAAATGTTAAGGCAGTTAAATAAAGGCAATTAAAATGTTCCATGTCCTATCTGAGTAAAAGTAAATTTGCCAGGCAACTCACTGCTAAGAAATTACCATAGTTGAAGAACAGAGCCCAGTTTCATTCCATTTCCATCTTTTCAGCACTTGAACTTGAGTAAATGAAGAGTGGCTTGATCACAAATTCCAATATCTGAAATTGCTGGTTGACTGCATATTTAGGAGCCAAATTCTAGTTAGGTCCTTGCATTCCCATTAACTTCAGTGAATTTGGTCCTGTGTCTTCATTGGTGGACTTCAAGAACTTGGGCCTGCTCCTGATTCCAATGTAAGTTTATGGCAAATCAGATTGATCTAATGGGAACCTCAGAGTAACTTAATATTTAGAGGACTTGAAGAATATGTAAACTACATTAATTTAGACTGCCTCAAAAGTGGCAGACTTGCATCCACTTAATGTGTAACTTACATTCCACTTCTTTCAGATCACAACTAGCTTTAGCACATGAGTTTAAGGAAACTAAAATGGTTTATATCACATATCATTGGGCAGATGGAGATGTTTAACAAGAAAAATAACAGGGTGTGAGTTAAAGATAACTATACCTTCTTTCAGCTCCTTGATGTGTAAATATACAATTTTAAACTCCCTCATACCTATTAATCAATAGGTGATCATTTTACTGTAAAGTCCATCAGAACCAATCAAACACAAAATACAAACCCCACGTTGGCCAAGAAGGGGTTAACCAGAGCCCTATGGCTCAAATCAACCCTGCCCTACTACAAGTGAAGAAGGTGTCAGGCCTGGAGATTAGAGCTAAAAGGGGAGAACCTAGCTCAGTTGGTGGCTGACAAGGAAGGGAAGAAGCTCTTCAGCTCCTGCTTGGTGAGAAATAAGCCAATAGCGTACAGTAAAATGAATGATTATAGGTTTGCTATGCTTTCCTTTAAAGACACAAAGGGTCAGATCATTCTATAAACGCAGAGGAGTGGGCAACAGGATAGGGACTTGCAGTTTCCCTGGAACTTTTCAGTGTGGAAGGAGAGGCAGGTCTGTCACTCAGAACAAGTCAAGGGTTCCAACCTCTTGCTTCCATATCACCATGAATTATTAAGTAAGCATGCTTGTGTTTTCTCAGCATGTTATGCTTTCAGACTTAAATTACCCTCTTCCCACCACCACACCTTTAAGTTATGTACATAAGTTATGTACTGTAAGTAATGTACATAATCAAGCTCAGAAACTTTGACTTCATAATGCTGATCTTTTTGATTCAATAGGTTCTCGAAGTTTAATACTTGTCCTTTTAAAACACAATTCAAGTCTAAATGTCCAGTTAAACTAAGTTGGGTTTGTTATGTAAAGCCTCTGCTCAATCCAGTAGAATGCAATCCAGAAGAATCCTGCTTCTTGACCTGCTCGCCGGCCCGGATCCGTGACCACAGGCGGACACACCAGATCTACTATGCCTCGGCTTCCTCTGCTGTCTCCGGTAACACTTCGCCTGTCTGAGTGTGTGGGTGCATGAGGGTATGAATACAATGAATGTGTACATGCACGAATAAGCTCCATCCCTTTTCTGTTTTGATCCAATAGCAGCATTTAATAAAACCAATATAAGTGTAACCCTGGGTTGGTTTCTAGGGAAACTGAGGTAACAGGGTTCTGTTTAGCATCTACCTGCTTCCTTTATTCTGTTTGCCACGTAACTGAAGGGTATGCTAGTTTTTATTTAAGTGATGGGTTAAAGATCTAATTCCACACTATCTGTGATGTTCCTTGCTTAGAGCTTGGTCTTTTAAGCTGCTGAGTGCCCTTATGCTGAAAGTCATAATTTCATTGAATGAGAGGTAAGGGCACTCAAGTTGTGCAGGAAGCACTTAGTACAGGGGCGGGCAAACTTTTGGCCTGAGGGCCACATTGGGTTTCTGAAATTGTATGGAGGGCTGGTTAGGGGTGGCTATGCCTCCCCAAACAGCCAGGCCCGACCCCCCCCACCCCTGCTGCCTTGCCCCAGGACTCCTGCCGCCTCCTCCCCCCCCAGGACCCCTGTTCCATCCACCCCTCCCTGTCCCCTGCCCACCCCTGCCACCCCTGCCCACCCCCTGCCACCCAATCCAACCCCTCCTCTCATTCCTGACTGCCCCCCTGGAATCCCTGCCCCATCCAACCACCCCTGTCCCCTGACTGACCCCAGAACCCCTGCCCCTGACTACCCCCCACCGCACCATCTTCCCCCCCCTTTCCTGATTGCTCCCCTGGGACCCCTGCCCCCATTCAACACCCCTGTTCCCCACCCTGCCCCCCCATCCACACCCTCAGCCCCTGACCACCACCCCGAACTCCCCTGCCCTCTAGCCAACCCCCCCCCCCTTCTCCCTGCCCCCTTACCGCGCTGCCTGGAGCACTGGTGGCGCTACAGCCGTGCCACCCAGAGCACCAGGACTCTGCAAGAGCCCCGCCGCCCAGAGCACTACGCTGGTGGTGCAGCGAACTGAGGCTGCGGGGGGGGGAGCCCGGGACAGGAGCTCGGGGCTGGGCAGGAGGGTCCCGTGGGCCGGATGTGGCCCGTGCGCTGTAGTTTGCCCACCTCTGATTTAGTACATTGCAGGATTAGGTCCTGTGCTTATATTCAGATCTACAACTAATCATCTAATTTTAAGAGGTTCTGAAGTGCTGTCTTCAATCCCTGTTAAAGTCAGTGAGTTGCAACACATCAGCATTTCTCAGCACCACATAAGAGCAGCCTTTCTATTTTTAAAAAAACTGAAATTGCATTTGTGGAAATGTGGCCTATTTAGTTTTTTTTCCTGACTCTCGTGCATGGGGGGGGAAAAAAATTCTAGCTATAGCTCAGGAAAAAAATTATGGGGGTTGCTATGACCATAACTTGACATTTCATGCTCATGTTTTAAAGTTCTGAAAAATACTATCCAACTTTGACATATTATAGACACTTCATCAACACTGATTTTCCTACCTTGGCACATGTAATTCTGTTTAGCATATTTTTACTTCAGAATATCCCCAGCTAAAAGATTTAAAAAAAAAAAAAAAAATAACTGAACCATCAGGCTTCTGGCTTATAAAAATTATACTCAACTACACAAACCAAGACTGTATTTTTTCCACTCAGGTTTTTGGTAACTACATAAACTATGAGTGAAAAGAATGGTGTATACATTGCTTATGTTGAGTTTTATATGTAAATGTATATGATATATTATATTAGGCAACTTCAAATTAGTTTTTGGAACTGTCACCCATCCTTGTTTTGGTATGTAAGTTTTCTTTTCATACTCAAGTTTTGTCAGTTCTGCTCTACAGATCTCCTGCTAAGGAATGTTCACCTACATTAAAGATTTGTAACCTTGGAGAATAGAGGACTCAAATTCATTTCTGAACTCACTACCTTTATGATAAGATTCTATTTACCAAGGAACATGTATGGTACTTGGAACATAAATCACAAATGCTATCTCTAGGGTGATAGGACCTGAGCCGAAGTCCACTGAAGTCAATGGTAGTCTTTCCATAGACTCAGCGGGTTTTGGATCAGGCCTTTAGTTAGTATTCCTTACTCAAGCAAAACTCTCACTAACTTCAGAGTAAGGAGGGTTGAACAGGACCCCTAATTGTCGTCTGCCAGACCCATAGCTACAGTAAATTCCATCATAAGATGTAATCTACTACTATAACTTATCAGTTTCTCCTCTGCTGACAACTGCTGATTCACAGGGTTGACTTTTTTTGTGTGTGGAGTTTTGAATGGACCAGTTTGCCAAAAGGGTTAGATTGTCTACCTCTTGCAGCAGCCTTCAAGTAAGATATGGCTATGGCAAAGCATCCCTCTCCATACCAGGTTTTTAAACAGATAAAGTATATTTGTTTAGTGTGTAATATACCACTGTGGCTGCCATTTAAAAAGTTAAAATTTACTTTTAGTCATCACACAAGGTAGGAGATACCACAGTTATTTCCCCATGCTTTGGGCCAGATCAAAGCCCCCTGAGGTCAATGGGAGTCTTTTCATTAACTTGAATGTGCTTTTGATCAGCTGCCTAGACTCAAAGAATTGTGGTTTCTCTGGTAACCATACAAAATGTATAAATAATGAAACTTTAATGTATGTTGACAGTACGCATTAGTGCAATAAACCTCACATTAACTATGTCTAAACAGTTTTTTCGTAAACTTCATATTTGTACCGGATGCCATTCTCTTCCTGGACATCAGCAGGGACTCCTGGATATCTGGGGAGGGGAGAAAAACAAAACAAAACCCCATAATTTAATAGACTATCATCTGCAACACTTCTAACAAACTGGAAAAGTCTGAAAACCAAAACACCATCCATAACATGGGAATGGTGATTACATATCAATTTTTTAGCAAGTGATTTGATTAGTAGCAGAATGATTAGATTTAGCAGCTGATGAATTTAAGATGCTGCATCCCAACTGCATTGCTAGCTCCAGCAACAGCAGTACTTGAGTGTCAACCACTTTCCCGCTCCTCCAAACAGTCCAGATAGATCAATCTTAAAGAACCACTTAACTTGAACAAGAGATTCGTGCCTGTGGACAGGAGTTGTTAGGAGCAAAACTTGAGTTATAGCTCGAGCTAACGTGGAACTGAAGACACGCCCTTAGAGACAACTGTAGGGTGTTTTTCTGTCAAATGGTGTGAAACAAATTAAGGTCCTAATTCTGCTAAGATTTACACATCTGTGTAACTTTACACAAGTGAGCAGTCTCATCAGGCTTACATTTTTGATTATAGGACTGGAGCCTTAATTTGTTTTACTACATTGGACAAGGACTCCATTAATTAATTCTTTTGAATTAAACTACTTTTCCCTTAGACATGGCATATTCTTTCTGGGCCATACTATTCAAATAAAAAAAAATTCTTGAAAATGTACATAGCAGTAAATGAGAGTAGAACATGGCCCTAAATTAAATTAAAAAATAATTCAAAGTTGATTCTGAAGTCTTTCATTTTTTCTGCTATTTGAAGGTGAACTGTAGCCTCTCATACCAGATTATTAACATATCTTGATACTTACTCTGGGAGATGTTTGTATTTCTCCAAATCAATTTCTGGAAAAAATGTGTCACTTTCAAACTCATGCAAAATTCTTGTCACAAACAATCGCTGGTGAACTGGCTTCTCCATTGCTGCCTGAAAAACAAAAACAAAGGATTAAAATTTTAGTTTCTTTCTAAAGAAAGACCAACACCACAACTAGGTAAAATAAAAGATTATTTTTGTCATGGAGATTTTTAATGTAGATTTTGATTGAGAATTATTTTTAGTCAAACTTATATATATAAAAAGTATCCAGTAGATTTCTCATTTCAAATGCTACTTTTCTTTGCCATTTCCCCACATTCTTGTCCTCAGTATCTGCACCAAACATCCCCAGTGTAATGTCCAAAAAGAACCAAGAGATCAGAGTTTTAGAATGGCAACATTTATGGTTCCCTATACAGTTACTGTGACAAATTCTGACACTATGTATACAGATGAAACTTAAGTGTAGTATATATAGTATGTATAGTGATTATGGGACTGGTAGTCAGGAAATGTTAGTTCTATTTCTGGCTCCATCCAGTTTAAAGTGTGATCTTGGGCAAGTAATTAATTTTTCATCCCAGTCTCATTTTTAAATGGTGATAATACCTACTGTGACACTCTGTGCCCCAAAGAAACACGCTGCACCCCATATTCACCATGGTGATATAATTATGATTTTGTTTTGTACAAAGTATGCCCTGTGAAGGTATCATTCTAAAAGTCTTAATCTGTTGAACATTAATATCCTATTAAGTTGTATGTGCTATCGTATACGAAGTTATAAAGTTTTGCTATGTATGTGTTACTGAAACATGTTGTGAGGTTGGGAACACCCACAAGCAGCCTTTCAGGTACAACAATAAAAAGGCCAAACAATGTTGATGGCCTACTGAGGAAATACATACTCACAAGGATTACCCCAGGAACTGAGTACAATAGAAACCTCTCGGAGATAGCACTACACAATTGAGACTGTGTGACCCAGATCACAGCAAAAGAGCGTTCCAGCAAGTTGGAAGAAGATATAAAAGGGGGAAGTGACAACATGAAGGGACCTCACTCTCCCTACAACACAACAGCTGAAAATATTACAGGAAAAAAGACTGAACTGGGGGGAGGGTGTGGAGAGGGGGAGTACTGGTCCCAGGCAGGAAAGAAGAAAGCCCTGCCTTTGTATGAAATGTCAGCAAACTGCTTGTACTACTTAACAGGGTGAGATACTGCTCGATTCAAATCCTATCATGTATATTAGGCTTAGATTGTGTTTTTTGTTTTATTTCTTATGGTAATTTACATTGTTTGCTATCACTTGAAATCTATCTTTCTGTAGTTAATAAATCTGTTTTATGTATATTTAACTAAAAGTTTGGTTTGGGTGAAGTGCTTGGGGAAAAAATCTCAGCTCATGAACAAGGGTGGAGGGATAGCTCAGTGGTTTGAGCATTGGCCTGCTAAACCCAGGGTTGTGAGTTCAATCCTTGAGGGGGCCACTTAGGGATCTGGGGCAAAATCAGTACTTGGTCCTGCTAGTGAAGGCAGGGGGCTGGACTCGATGACCTTTTGGGGTCCCTTCCAGTTCTAGGAGATAGGATATCTCCATTTATTATTTATTATTATTATAAGGGTTGGTGCATGTCCACTTACCTTTGTAGAAGTGGTGGACTAGGTAATAAATTCATACTGGTCAGGTTTTTGACGAGGGCAGGACGGTATGGCCCTGGGGTCCTAGTCTGGGGAGCTGGAAGTATTTCGGCTGGAGCCTCTCTATTGTTGGTTCATGCAGTGGCTAGCCCAGTGTTCATGAACACAGCTGGGTGTGGCCCTGCCTGTGGATGTTTGGGTGAGGGCAAACTTGGAGGGCTTTGCAGCTTGTCACAGCAGAACAGTGTGAAAGGGAGTCCAGGCTGGTGAGACAGAGAACTCAATGATAACCCAGTTCCAGGTGGCACAGGGGGTGGAGAGGGGAAGAACCAGTCACACCTACCTCACTTCCCTTACTTCTGCTGACAATGTAAAACAAAGTACATGTATCTGAGAGACTTATTCTTGAGTTAGCCTTCCTATTGCCAATCCCAAACATTCAAAAATCATGAGACTTTAAAAAATAAAAAATTCTCTTCATTTGCCTTCTGAGACTATAAGGTGTAGTTGGGTCACATTTTCAAACTGTTTTCTGCACCAATAAGGGTTTGAAAATAACTTTAAAAAATACATGAAAGCTTGGATTCTCATGTAAACATTTGTCTGCAAAAGCTGGAACTTTTAGTAAACTATCAATACCACAACGTTTGTGATAACTGTGCGAGTTGGCACTAAAAAAATCCTCCCATCAAGTTGCAGTAACTAAACTGAGTGACTGAGGTGGAAATCTGCACTAGGTCCTATTGCTTTTGCTCCAGTAGGGACAAAAGACAGTGCACGGCTTGCCCACCCACCCACCCCTGCACAGCAAAACTGCACATGATGTCCACAGCTGGAATCCTCTACCACAGGGGTTCTCAAACTGGGGGTTGAGACCTCTCAGGGGGTCGTGAGGTTATTACATGGGGGAGTTGCAAGCTGTCAGCCTCTACCCCAAACCCGGCTTTGCAGCGAGCATTTATAATGGTGTTAAATATATTAAAAAGTGTTTTTAATTTTATAAGGGGGGGTTGCACTCAGAGGCTTGCTATGTGAAAGTGGTCACCAGTACAAAAGTTTGAGAACCACTGTTCTATCACTAGGGCTCTACCAAATTCACAGCCAGGAAAAACTGATCACAAACCATGAAATCTGGTTCTCTACCCTCTATTATAAAAGTACCCTCTACTATAGGGTAAAAGCATACAGCATTTCTCAAGCTGGGGGTCTAAACCCAAAACGAGGTTGCAAGGCTATTGTAGGGGGTCACGGTATTGCCACCCTTACTTCTACGCTGCCTTCAGAGCTGGGCACCTGGCCAGCAGCCGCTGCTCTCCAGCCACTCAGCGCTGAAGGCTGTGAAGAAGGGTGGCAATACCGTGATCCCCTCCTCCCAATAGCCTTGCAACCCCCTTTTGGTTTGGGACCCCCAGTTCGCAAAACGCTGAGTATGAAGGGCTTTACATGTTTATATTTTGTTGTTTTTAAATATATATGCATGTTTTGTTACAACACGGTGAAATTTAAGATTTAAATATCTGAAACCATGACGTTCAAGATTTTAAAAATGCTATTACTGTGAAATTTACAAAAATGGACCATGAATTTGGGAGGGCCCTATCTAGCACCTAAAGATTCTATAAATTATTGGCCAATTATCTATTGCTAGAAAGCTGCTCATTCTGCCAAAACAGAAATATTGGTACACTTACTCATTCAAGTTCCCCCACTACTACTTCAAAGAACAGTCTTCTAAATCCTCCCCTACCATCTCAGCAAGTACCTTTGAAAAGGAAATTTAAAAGCCTTTTATATGTACATGATTTGCAATTGCATCTCTGACTCATACTAACTTTTGCCTTCATCATTTTTTCCAGGAGAATGTCAAACCAATATGTTCATCAGAATAAGCACTGGCAGGTTGTTTTGGGATAACATGAATATATAACTACATTTCTATCAAGGTCCCTGCCAGTCCTATAGTTTTGTGATTCTTTCCCATGTTAAAAGTCTTTGTTTAAAAAATATACTGCAAGGTTTCACCCTGTTTTTCTAAAGTATGTGAAAGGATACCATTACTCATCTAAAACCTACCACCGAAGAATACTGGAGAAATCTCAACTATTTAAACAGACATGCCTACAAAAGAAAATACAGCTTTTAAACAGTAATAAATAACTCCATCTGTCTACTGTTAATATTGTAACCCCCTCCCCCAATCTAGTTTGTGGCTGAGACAAGACCACAGCAGCACGTGTCATGCTGATATATGAGCCACTCTTGTGTACAGACTGGGGTACAGATCCATTCTTACAATACTGGATCTGGGGCATTTAGTGTAATCAACTGGAATGAAGAGATCATGTATAGAAGAGAGATTAGGGGGATTGCACTAAAATGGTTCCAATCCCTTCTCTCAGACTACACATAGAGGGTCATGAGGGGGAAATTGTTCTTCCGCCTCCATCATCTCATTCATCCTACTACATCTACTTGAAGCCATAAGGGGAAGTTACATCCACATGAATTCAGATGCCAGAAATAAAATGAGGTAAACAATATTTTTCAGCTATCCAAGTGCCAGGATTCATCAGCATCTGTCTGAAACTAACCCTATGTAAGACAAAGGTAATTCTGGTGCAAAAAAAAAGTAACAGTGCCACCATAACACCACCCTCCATCAAATTTGCCTGTCTTCAGATTGTTGCATACATCTGGAGCCTCAGAGTTTCTCCATAGATTAAAGGCAGAAGGAACCATTATAACCATCCAGTCAGATCTCCTGTATTACACAGGACATCAAATTTCCATTCCTCACCGATAATGGATACACAAATAGCTATGCTTATGAAAAAGGCACTCTTCCATCTATGCCTAAGAAGGGCAAAATCCCTTATCAGACTGGCTATTGTGAACCACACATTCATGATCTATGGGTTTGATTGCTACAGTGCAATATATCTAAGGATCAAATTATCAGCCTTAGAACGGTTCCAAGGAGTTCAAGCTATACGAGTTCACCTGCTTAGCAGCAGAATCTATAGAGGATTCAAGAACTCAGTGCTCTGCTTTTTATACTGGTTCTCCAATAAGTACACCGCTACCTCGATATTAACGCAACCCGATATAACACGAATTCGGATATAACGCGGTAAAGTAGCGCTCCGGGGGGTCGGGGCTGCGCTCTCCGGCGGATCAAAGCAAATTCAATATAACGTGGTTTCACCTATAACGCGGTAAGATTTTTTGGCTCCCGAGGACAGCGTTCTATAGAGGTAGAGGTGTAGTGTAAAGTCTGAGACTTCAGTCCTGAGTTCTGGAGCCCTCTTTGTAAATGGCCCAACCTACTTTGGTGACCATATCAACTTCTGCATGATGTTCTTTGACAGAAGTTCTACTGGAACAACAGAATTGTCAACCACAAAAGTGTAACTAATGAACATAGGAAACAGAGATTTCTCTGCAGCTGTCCTGTAACTGTGGAT